ATAGGTTTGTGGCTCCTTACAGTTTAGACACTGTGACCAGTGCTTCTTTCAGTGTGGAGACAGACTCCATAAACAATCAGAATGATCCAGTTAATGTTCAAGTGCAGAAGTTCCTTAAATTCAAAATGTGGCTTTTGTTATTCATAAGTATGTCCTTCTTTTGACTTTTAAAAACTCATTTAATTGATTTGTTTTCAGAAAGCAAACTCAATAGTATCTGCAGGATGTCAAATTTTGCTTATTCAGTCTGGTCTCATTTCAGTGGCAGTTCCCTTTGGTGGACGTCTGGCAAAGTTCCTGAACATGGAAATCACACCCAAGGACAGTGTTGACTTTTTCTATAACCTCCTCAAGAAATTTAAAAACCAGCATCATGAAGACAAATCTGTAAGTATTAAATTGACAAGGACATGAAACTAGTCGCAGAGGCCATCAGCTCATCAGAAATCTTTATAGACATGAGAGACAAGAGAAGGTTGTTTTCCATATACATCTAGCTTTGAAACCACAGGACTCGCTCCCTGTAAGCTACAGGAAAATAATTTAGGGCAATACCTGGAATCATTTGCCATTTTTTATATACAGTCTGCACACCGCAAACATTATTGATATTTTTCTTCTGCTGTTGACTCTCAATCATTCACATGTGAGCACATTTGAATATTGTCTTTTCTGATGTAGGCTCGAGCAGACTTCCTGCAGGTGTTGATCCAGAGTGAGATCCCAGAAAAGACGTATAAGAACGATGAAGAACAGCCAAGTAAAGGTATGTGTTTACCACAGAAGTAATCCAGAATAACCCAGTCACCTATGTCACATTTACTTTAGACAACTCAGGATCAAGGGTTTAACACACACATTTTTCTCATGACATCAATCTGCTCATATGTCTCAAAAGACCAGTCAGTCAGTATCATATATTATAAACCAGGAGCTTGATGATAAATAGCTGAAGGGCTCTACACATCACGACGACATCCCTGTAAATATTTATAGAGCCATCCTAGCTATTGTAACATTTTTGATAATCTGGCTATAAAAAATTACATTAACCAAGTTGGATCTCAGGTCAACATGTACCCCTTCAGCCAGAATGTAAACTACAGAAGACAAGAATCAAGGTTAAGGGTGTGCATTGGTGCCAATGCATACCCTTAACTAAATGTACAGTTTCACTGAGCAACTTTTCAGCTGCCCTGTAGCACACACACCTCCTACCTCAGGTCCCAGCACATCCTTTATCGGGGAGCCATGACTGGATGATGGAGCTCAGGTGTGTGCAGCCTCTGACACCACACCCTTAACCTGCTGCTACACCCTTCCCCTGCAGCTGAGCCACAAACCACACTCCATCACAGAAAGTTTTAGTATTAATCTTAAAAGCATAGTCTGTTCTTGTATCTTTTTATTAAAAATGATGCAGTTTGTGTGTCATGTGTGTCATTGCACTCTGAAATGAAACGAATGAATATTACAAATATACAGTTGGAGTTTAAAAAAAAGAAATCATGGAATCAATTTATGAACCAAAATGTATTCTAAACTTTTGAATCATCAAGGCAGCCACCTTTGACAGATATAACAGCTGGACACACCCATGGCATTCTTTCTACAATAAAACAAAAAATATCAAATATTCTTTTAGAAAGTTCTTCTCATATCTGATGCAGAGGTTCCCATAAATGAGTGGCACTTGTATGTTGCTTTGGTTTCACTCTTCTGCCCAGTCCAACCCAAACCAAAGGTTTGAGTCTGAAGACTGTGTTGCCCACTTCCTGATTTCAAGGTTACATCTTGTTCTTTTTTTCCTGAGGCAGTCTGGCAATGCTTGGACTTATGTTTTGGGTCATTACCTTGCTGTAGGATGAACCCCTGACCAACTAGGTTCATACCAGAGGGTGTTGCATGCTGCTACAGAATGTTGTGGTAGTTGTTTTGGTTCAGGGTGCCTCTCCCTCTGTACAAGTCACCGAACCTGGATCCAGCAAAACAGCCCCAGACCATCACTCTTCCTCCTCCATGTTTGACAGTTGATGCCACACACTGTGGAACCAAAAATTCGCCTTCTTGATGGTGTACAAATGTCCTGCATGATGAACTGAAGATTTCAAATTTGGATTCATCAGTCCATACCTTCTTCCAGTCTTCAAATAGTCCAATGGTGGTGTTTCATTTGTCTTGTTCCAACGTCTTAGCGACTTAGCGTCCTGCTTCAACTCGCCCTGTCATGCCTGCAGCTTGAAGTCTTCTCTGTACATTTGAAACTGAGACTTGCTTACTGCTGTTAGGGTCAACCCGCGTGGACCCAGGTAGCAGATCACACAGACACTTTAAGCTAGAGCGTAAATGATTTCTTTACAATAACACAGTTCTGGAATTGCCGTCATAACTGGTGGAGGACTCAAACAGTCTATGGGAAGGCAAGGGAGCAGTGATTAGAGAATAGACACGGTGAGAGGAAGACGAGGACTATGTGAGGTGAGAGAGTTGGAGAGCTTACTTGCCACAAGTTTGGTGACAGGCTGGGCCAGGGGGTGTGAGGAGCTGGTGGATTAGGCAAATAGAGTGCGGGCTGGTGATGGTGCAGGCTGATGAGGGTGACCAATATTCAGAAAGAGACCAACACGTTACCACTTCTGGATGAGGCAATACTCTGACACCAGACAGCAGCTGCGCTGCTCCTTAAATAGCCCCAGCTGATGATGCCTGATGCCCTGCAGGTATGCCAGGGAATCCAATAGATCACAGTCCTGCCCGTCTGCACTGAAAAAGGGAAATGACAGGACAGCAACAACACACACCATCCCAACTCCTAATAACTACAACCACTAATAAGCTGTGTTCCTGTGAGCTGCCTATCATGCAAGCTGTTAACTCTCAGAAACTTGTCCTCGAATTCAGTCGTTTCTTTGGGTCTGACTTTGTTTACAATTTCTCTGTAAAAAAGCACCTACATTTTTAAGTGTTATGATAGTCTGTCTCTCTTCCATCTTAATTGCCTTTTTCTTGCCATTTTTGTAGTAACACACTACTTTCTGCAGTACAACACTGTTAAACTGATGCTCATGAGGGTATGGTACCACAGTGTGTTCCAAGACTCCAGAAAATTCAGAATGCCTGTAGGAATTAGTAGCACCAGCTTTAACCCTAACCCTAACTCTAACTGCCCGCAGGGGCGAGAAAGTACTAGCTACTGATTACGCTAAAATAAGATAATTTATTATGTTTTTTCATAGGTTTGACTGAACATGAGATCCTTTCCCAGGCCTTGGTCTTCATCTTTGGAGGCTACGAGACCACCAGTACCACTCTAACTAACATCCTTTATAATCTGGCCACCAACCCTGATGCGTTGCAGACCTTACACAAAGAAATTGATGCTAACCTGAAGGAAGATGTACAGTAATTCATCACATAATTTGTTGCCATCCTTGATTCAGTGGTTTGTCATTTGCATATTTGTTTTTATGTTTGCCTTCTTTATATTTTGCCTAGGCACCCATTTCATATGAAGAGCTGACCGGTCTACAGTACCTGGACCAAGTTATACTTGAATCAATGCGACTGTTTCCCACTGCCCCTCGCCTCAACAGGGTGTGCAAAAGAACTGTGCAAGTGAATGGACTCACCATCCCTGAAGGAACCACAATTAGGATTCCTGCGTGGGTGTTGCACAAAGACCCACGCTACTGGGACTCACCTGAGCTTTTTAGACCAGAGAGGTAAATGTGTAGGTGTGTCATCACACGGTCATAAAGAACCTGGTCATCCTGTAATTAGTGAAACCTGGAACATTATGCTTTGCTTTATCTTTGCTAGATCTTTCGGATGATTTATCCATTATAGCTTCCACCTAAGTACTGCTTTGATCATTGGTTTTTCCCTGCTGTAGGATCTAACTGGCCAGTGGGTCCCTAATCCCTGCTTAGATGGTTTGGCATCTTTACGTTGTAGGTCTACAGACTGCCTAAAAATCATGGCTCAATACAA